GGTCGGTGTCGAGTTTCCGCGGATAACGAGCCTCCTCTACACCTCTTCGTTCTTCCTCGCGTTTCCGTTTTCGAATTCTTTTTTTTTCCCCTCGAGTCTCCGCGTTTCCTAAATTCATTAATCCTCCGCGTTTCGTTCCATAAATTTTTCCGGCCGCGCCAACGCTTTTCTTTTTACCCCGACCCGTTTATTTATTCGCGTTAATCGTTTACACGAAGCGTCGACGCGTCGTAGCTTCTCTTCGGAAAAATGATTTTCGACGCTCGCTACGTGGCACCAATTAATTCCAGGCCGGAATTATGGATGTAAAGGTGTACGCGAGCGAGCCGTAGCCTGGCGGTTCTCGAAATAACGCGGATCGCGGCCGTAAAATCGCGGACACGGTCGTACTGGGAACGGGACGGCCGATAACTCGTAAAAACGCCGATCGTAATTTCCTGGGAAAAGCGGGCGACTTTTATTAATCCGGTCGAATTTATCCGTTTGCTTGCGCTTGTAATTTGCGCCAAGACGACCGAGTATTTTTGTTCCGCGTCCAATTTGATTTTCTTCCCTCTCACGACCGCTCGATACCCCAGCTGACTCGAATTTCCTCAACGCGGTTAGCTTTTTGTTAATATTGCGTTACTCTTCTGTCAATATTATTTTTCAATTTCAACAATGATTTTAACGATGTTTCGACAGCCGTACGTGCTCGTTAAATTACGACTGTTCCATTTGTTTGACCGAATTATTAAGTCACAACGATGTAGAAATGATATAAATCTCAACTCTCGGACGACGGACCATGGAGAGAGGCCGAATTTTAATTTAGTTCCGACGATTGAATCTTAGAAATTAAATAAATCTTAAGTAATGTAGAATGAAACGTCAGGTGTCCTTAATATTGATCGAACGGATTAAAGAGGTACGCATTTGGATTCGTAAACGCTTTAGTCTCTCGTTTCATTAACAAGCTAACCATCCGACGAGTTAAGCCGTAACGTTTCAGCTCGCTAAACTGTTCAACTTTTTCCAAAAAGGGTTGGAGGGGATTAGCATTGTCGGCGTTCTGGGAGCGAAGTTGCCCGGTTGAATCGGGATCCCCGGGTGTGTCGTTCTTTTCCAGCTTAATATTTCAACTGACCGATCGAGCGTCCCTCGGGCGTGTCGCTAACTTTCATAATTCATCTTTGTGCAGCAACCCTTCCTAGAGACCGCTAGAACGAAGCGCCCGCTCGCGTTCAATTCGAACTCTAATCCCGTCTAAATCGGTACGGTGTAATAAATCTGGTATGATTTAATTATGACTCGTCGCGGTGATATTCCAAGGTATTTAACTTAATCACCGATGTTAATGCGCCGGCATTAATCTCTGATGTTACTGTCCGCTGAACCGTGCTAGATATTCTAACGAGTTTCTTCCGTTCGAGGGAAGACACTCGCTCTGCGATTGGTTTCGCAGCTAAATTGACCCGGGAATTAAATTAACCGATTGAACAGCACGCGTTTCTTACGGTAGCTGCATCTTCTTCCGCCTGTTGATTAATTCTCCGTCTTCGCGGCGGTGAATTATGAAGATTACGGAGGTGTGGTTTAGACTGGGATGAATTCGTTGAACGGCAATAAAGGAAGACAAATTTCTTTCCTGTTTTATTTAGTACACTTTGTTTCATTTTGAACATTAAGAGACACATATTTACTCGCAGCCCGAAGGGGTGCGTATCGCACCCCTGGCAATTAGACGCGCGCGCTAACGGAGAAAAGGATAAACGACGGGTCAAGGCGGCGCAATCTAATTCCGACCCCATGCAAATCGGGACCCTTAACTAGCTGACGTTTCAACCCTTGACACTCGCCCTCGTGGCGTCGTAACACAACCGTGGCTATCTTCCTTCGAGTCTTCGTGACTTAAATTAACCCCCTCGCGTCGACCGTTTTCCACTCCTCTTTTCTCTTGCGGTACTCGTTACTCCCTGTGTTCCCGGCCTTCCCTCCTCCCTCCCTCTCTCTCTCTCTCTCTCCGGGGGTCAATTTCAACGAGCGGCACGAAATTAGTTGCCGCCCGATAATGAAAAACATTGGAACAGACGTGACTAGCTGCGCTCGATTGCAACGATCCCGAAGTTTTATCGTTCTCGTTAACCGTCCACCCGAAATTGTTCCTGCGAACTTTCAACGATCGAGGAGGATAATGTTGAAAATATTGTTACGTCAGTGTTTATATCAAGGTAAAATGTGAAAGACAAGGTTGCTCTTAAAAAGATGATCGATAGGCTTCGACAGACTGTACCCCATCGTAAATCAGTCCAATTCAAACATCTCAGCTTCTTGTCCTTCGAACTTTTCTCCGCGTAACAATTTTTACGACAATTTCTTCTTTCTTTGGTATTACAGTCTATGTCTAGACTTGCTCGTAAAAGGTGAACTTTCTTTTGTGAAACAGTTCATCAATTCGCTCTGACGCAAGGGTTTAACCAATCGCATTTAGGGTCAATCAAACTGTACGAAATGTTTCGGTGACACCGAACTGAGGACGCAAATGAAGCGATTCAATCGATCCTCCTTGTTTCTCGTTACTAATCCACGGGTACAAGTTTCACGGGAAGAAAGAAGAGAATTCAAAAGGGTATTCCGCTCGCGGAGAAACTCTATTACCATGGCAAAGAGCCCGCGCGATTTCAACCCCTCTTCTCCGTGTCAATTTCCTTGCTTTCGCTTTCACTTTTGTTACTCTCTCCGCCCTTCTCGACTTCTAATTCGTCGGAAAGGGGAAAACGAACTATAACGCAACGGGATAAACAATAAACTGGAGAAGAACGTAACTCGACGCGTAAAGTTGTGTATTTGAAAAGAAGGGTGGCAGTGTCGCATGGAAACGATTTCGTCAACCCCACGATGTTAAACCGACCACGGACGACGGAACAGGGAGGTCGGCCGGTGTTCACGGATGAATGTCGTCGGAGTTATAATTGCAACGCGGTGTAATTAGTTTTGGAAATTTAATTATTTCCGGGCGAAACGGTCGCGCGATAAATGCCGCCGGCAGCCGTTCCGCGCGCGGAAACCTTTCGGCGAAGAATTATCAGAGGACTTTCCCACGTAGCAGCCGTTAATCCTGCTTCGAGCAACCTCGAGCCAATGGAAAATCGCCCAGTTTCGAAACGCCCGCGCCTGTCGTCGGCTTTTCCTCCAGGTCCGCGGTAATCCCTCGACAAGCGTCACTCTCGTTGCTTCGTTAATCAACCTCTCGTAACGCCTAAGGGCATCACTCGTGCGATTTTTCGAATTTTTATAGATCATCGATTTTCAGAAAATTCACAACATTAATCACTCTGTTCTTAATTCAAGGCTGTAGTCTTCAAGCTGTTCGCGCTTTCTCACAGTTTAAAGGAATGATCGTTAATTGCACGGTGCGCGGCTGCAGTCCGTGTAACGTCCGTAATATTTTATGGGAAAAATGCTGGATGATTGTAAACATTTACATATGGCGTACCGCGAACCGTGACTGGCGGTGCATAACGAAGTGAATGCAAATCATGGCGAGTACCTCGATTACAAAAGTTCCACGTGCGTCACGAGAGTTCCTTGAACGCGCGTTTCTACGCTCGTCCGTTTCTATCTCGCTGCGAAATCGCGCGAGATTTCATTTGTAAGATTCAGCGCGATGGGATGCAACGTTAACGCGTGATAAATGAATCCAGAACGAAATCTCTATTACCTCGCATTTTTTTTTTTTTTTTTTTTTAAGACAGATATTAAAAATCTTTTAAATTCTATTATTCTGCATTGTTATATAAATAAATAATAATTTTCTGAATAGACCCAGCGTCAAGGGATTAATTAGCTTTATTGAGGGGAGATTTGATTACCTGTCTCAATTTAGAAATAATTGCATTTGTTTCTGATACGCTATGAGAATTTGCAGTATTGCACATTCATAATATATAAACCGATTGTTTTCCGCGGTCACGTAACAATCGCGCCCCTTCGTAATGGAAAATATACTGCAGCCAATATTGATCATATCCATAAAGGAAAATAATTGATACCCTTTACGCGATAATACTATGTACAATTAAATATGCGCCTGCAACAATGGTACTCTATCAATTTAGATGTCGAAACCAGTCCATTTTCCCGTGTTTATCGCGCACGGTGATCGTCCGTCGAATAATGCTACCCGATACAAAGCATTCCACCAGCTTTTTGTCAACGTTGCGATTATGTAAACAGGTCGATTGAGTTTTTACCTATTTATACTTCAATTAGCTCGCGGCTGTGCTTCACAAAATGGAGCGCGTTCAACGGCGGAACAATTCAGCTCCCATTTCGCGTGGCAACTTTGCAACCCCTCGCTACGGACAAACCACCCCGACCAGTTTTCTTTGCTAGCCACCTGAGTTTTCCCTTCTCAAAGAAAGCCTCCTTTGTACGAGTGGTGCTCGATCGAAACGAGCTCTTTTTTTTTTTCATCCACGAGGTGTCCACGCGTACGTCGGACCATCGAGTTCTCAGAAATTAATGGTCGCGGTTGAAACGCTGCGTACGATGTTCTTGCCACGGCAGGACTACCAAGAACCAAGTGAAAAATTGATCAAGACCCACCGGTTACCCTCCCTTGTCATCCAGGCATCTTTTCAAATAGATCTTTAGAAAAGCTGTCGCTCCCCGGAGTTTCGTCTGGCCCTCGCCAGGCCACAGCCTGAACATCCACCCCTCTGATTCATGAATCTTTAAGCGTTCATCGCAAACCTGGGAACTGACATTCTGCGTCCTTTTGTTTCGACGCTTTTCAGCGGTTCCGTTTCAGCTGGAAGGACGCGTTGAAAAGATTGATCGAATCTTTTCTTCGACATTCGATCGAGAACTGTAGAAGTTTCAACCCTTTGTGGTTTGGATCATGGGGTAAATAATACGATAAAGGGTTAAGATGCAAGAAATTTATTTGAAACAATATTTTTATCTCACGTACAAGACACTGTTATTCGGAAGAAGAATGATTCCTCCCTTTGAAAAAGAAAAGCGTTTCCCGTAAGCGTCTTAACCACACGAACAAAGAAGTTTGTAACAAAGCCCATTTTTCTCGTTCTGTTTCAGCAATCATGGCGCACTTCTTCTTCCTGGCTGCGTTCTTCTGGCTGAACACGATGTGCTTCAACATCTGGTGGACGTTCAGGTGAGTGTTGCTCTTCTTTTGTCCGATCACCTAGGGGTAGAGGGGAATGCTTCTGCGGTGAAGAATTTCGCCACGTGTGTACTCTTCCGTGTGACCGGTTTCGAATCGAATTTACCAGCGATTCTGTCCACCTTAGATTTATTTCATCCTAACTTTTTTTTTCTATCCTTTTACCGTGAAACATTTACGATATCCTATTCGTCGTTTTTCGAAACGTTCACGCGTTCGAAACTTTAAAATTGAAAATTGAATTACATACAAATTCTTCTTTGAAACGTTGAAGCAAGTAATAAACCGATCGTTTAATCAAGTTTTTGCGGATGGATTTGCGTGAAGGGTTAAAGAAGAATCTCCTAGCGATTTCCCTTCGCGATTTGCAATTAACCTTTCGCACGCGAATATTGTACAATCACTATCTCCTCATATACATCATTAAATTCACCGTCTTATTAACTGATACGGCTATCAGCTTAAGAGACAGCATCATGGCGATCCATCCTCGCATTGCAATTAACCTCTGGCCCTCGTAGGTTGCATGAATATTAGAACTCACACCTGAAGTTAAATATTATTACTATTATTTTCAATTGCATGCAAATATACACAAGTTATAAATGATGAAAATACATTGACGAAATGACGGGTAATCACGTCGGATGAAAATTCATGGTGTATTTGCGATGGAATTTTCGAGGGCAAACAGGAAACGGAGGTTGTAACGGGAACGTGGAAGAGCTGTCCCGGTGCGAGAAGCGTAACCCCATGGTTTGTGTACATCGTTAATTAACGCCTGGTCCCGGGTCATCGACCTGGCCGAGTTTCGCGTAACCGACTCGGTCGTCTTCGATCAGAAGGCCACTGCTCGTTACCTCGCAATTACGCAATCGGCGCGCAATTACGCGAGTAACAGCGTAAGCTCGCCGGCAATTAATTCATCGCGGCCGCGAGAGTAAATCGCGTGCAAAGATAGCGAACGATAACGGTCGAACGATTGCGAAACGGTACGTTATTCGATGTTAGGGAAAAACAGTTTCTAAAGCCGTTATTTTTTTCTCTCGCGAACACGCTGGAGCGGATAATCGCGGGAAATGGTTGCACGCAATTATCGCGATGAATCAGAATTGTACGGAATGAAAATACAGGATGTTAACATCAAGGATCCGTCCGGAAGGTCGGCGACGCACGGCTCTTAGGCTTTTATCTGTAGGTATTTAGATCTCCAAATGGAGTTTCGTTTTTGCAAACGTAGAAGATTAAGGTGATAAATCTACCGCTTAAAACTCGGTAGATCGCGATCGTTAGAGACCGGATCACGCTTAAAGGATCCGCGGTAAAAGAAGCAGGGCAGCACGGTGAGAGATGAGATCAAGATCACTCGGTCGACTGGTTAATGCGATGCAACACGGTCGCCATAACGGGCCTCTCCTTCTTTATCCTCTTTTTCCTCGTCTCCTTTTCAAACTTCTTTCGTCTGATCCTTCGACCATGGCTCATTTCTCACCTTTTTTTTTTTCGTCGACCGCTTTCAGCTTCTTTCGCCCTGTTCCTTCGTCCTCAACGTCTTACTCTTCTTTCGTCACTTGCTTCTCTATTTTAACCGTCCCTTCTTGTTCCTGTTTTTCGTCCCAACATCAATGGTCTTTCGAACCATAAACGTATCGAGCATCCCCTTTTGCCCCAGTTGAATCGAATCGTATCCAATTAAATGCAGTTCGTGTCTGAATCTCGATACGGACGATTATGCACGCCTGCGGTTGCTTTTTCCGATCATACAGGCTGTTGTAAAACTGATTGCACTAGGGGAATGATTTTACGACGGTATATATTATACTTTCTGTTTGCTTCGCTTTGATGCTTCGTGACATTCGTGAAACATGAAAGAGTTCTTTATTTCCAAAGAGAATCCTCCCTTTGCTATTTTGTTGCAACTCGAATGCCCTTAATTAAACCGCGAGAACAGGATTGAAAGTCAACATCTGTTACCCTCTTAAACTACCATCTTTATTCCCTCCTTTGATCGGACGTGTTTGCAACTCGAGGAATAATATCGGGCATCGAAACGGGCTCCAAAAATAATCGCATCGATTCGGTGCATCCGCATCGATGACCCTAAATTTTCGCGAGAGGCGAACGGTTCGACGAACCCTGACCGCTGGTGTATATAAGCTTTTATCCGCGAATTTTCGAAACGTCAACGACATGTGCGCACGCGTTGTATCCACTTGTTGAGGTGTCACCGACACGTTGCGTTCACGGTAGCTGCTCTGTTCCGTGATTTTCCGGCCGGAAAATTAGCCCCGTTGTCATTTGCGGCTGTGCCCGAACGTTTGACAGAGCCTCGTCGCGGATAGATCCATTTCCTCGTTGCCTTTTTCCCCCGTTCAAGGTGATTTCCAATAAATCGAAAGTAGGTTTCGACAGGAGAAATCGGTGTCACGAGAGGCAATAAGTTATCGAACTTAATTAGCCGCGTGTTACGAATGTGTTAATAACGCGTTGAGCAACACCGAGAAGAGGTAGTGACGTTAAGTGCTAGATTGCACAACGACTGCAGTTCTATTGCTTTCCGATTCCATATTTCTGCAGCTGCTGTACCAATCTCTTTTTCCACGATCTTACGATTTCTTGGTCCTTTAGTTTAATGGATGAGATTCGATAGATATTCGACTCGATCCTCTGAAGCATGTTTTACGCTGAAACGTCGTAGGTGAGCATCACGCACTCGCGTTTACCCGCTCGCCTCCGCCTCGGCACGCGTGTGCCCATTTTCTGAGAAATTCTTCAATTACCTAACCATCCAGCAGCTTCCCACGGTCACTGTAGCCGTAACGCACGCACACAAGGAATACACCGTGACCTCGTCGCTGGTAGTTCCTGCTGCCGGCTGCTGATGTGCACTCGAGACTGCGGCGATGCACTCAGCGAGTTTCTTCGCTAAACGAATTTGCATTCTAGAAGGCTGGATGGCTGAGTCGCGGCGTGGCTCGTCGGGAACGTCTTTACCCCCTGAACTCGTCGACGATGCTTCGGAGAGTGTCCTTTTATGCCTGTACGCAAGCTTCTCGAAAGCTGGAAAGCGTATACTGAATCTTCGTGGTAGAAATTTATCTCGGAAGGAAAGTTGGCGCGAGTCGTGTGTCGCGATTCAAAGGAAACAGCTGGACACCGGTGTACGCCCTTAGCAGAATCGATCATTGTCAACGGCAAAGAAACGCTAATCTCGATGCTTGCTTGCAAAACAATGGTCAAAGCAGCGGGACATTGTGGCGAACAAAGGCGGTGTGTGTCGTCTGTGAATGGTGGTCAAGTGTATTAACCGTACGTGTACACTTGTACGTGTCCTGTCGTTAGGGTCTCCACTGTTCTCGAAGAGTGGGCTCATTAAGTTCGTTTATCTCGTCCCCGATAACTACATCGGGACTCCGGTTCTTTGGCTACACAAGGATCCCTCCGTATCGCTCGCTTTTGTGAATTAATAGCATCGACGAAAGTACGATGCTCGCTTGGATCTTGCTGAAATTACACCTGAAAGCCGTCGGACGTGTATCTATTTATTGCTTGATTAAATTGAAATTGAATTTCTTGCCGAAGAAGAACTCGTACGATTTGCAAAAGGAACCAGTAGCCGGATGAAAACCAGTGAAAGACGACAGCACGGCAGATGAAGCGTAACTGCTTCAGATTGGAAATTGATAAAAACCAGTGGAATTGCCAATCAACAAGGTCGTTGCCGAGCGCATCGTTGAGCAAGAAAGATAAGTTGCGTCGACAGTAACATAGTTGTGTTTAAACGAACACGCGATACGCGAAGAGTTGGCAAGAAAGCCGAAAAGAAGAGAAAAGTGAGGTTCGGAGACGCCGAGGACGTGATCAAGAACACCGGCCGGTCTGTCGTGGTTCGCATCCCAACGAGCCTTGATTAAGCTCCCTTCTGTTCTCGAACACAGCAGCTCATTAATTCCGTTATCTAATTTTCCGCAGTCACCGGATCTCTTGACCGGTCGGCCGCTCCGAATCGACTATCCTATCTCTCTCCAAAAAGAAAAGAAAAACCGCTGGCTCGCCACGAGATTCGTCGACGGCCAGAAACTGGTACGAATTCTGTTTGAAAATCGGCCCAGAGGTATTATAAATAGATCAAATTCTCATTCATCGACGATTCGTCGTGTCTTGTACGAGTCGATGCCAAACGGAGCGTGACCCACATCGTCGAGAAATTGGGTGCGGATCCTCTTAGAATTTCGTAATACCGGCATCATCTCGTCGCGGTGCTTCTGATCTAATTAAAATTTAGTCATTTCAGAAGACATTCTCCTGAAAACGCAGAAACATTGAATTTACAAGACTCTCAAAGCGTGTCCCTGTTCGTTTCTCTGGGTCGTTTAAGTAATTCGTTCGGACGGTCGGACTAATTAATTGAATTCAGCCAGTGTTCGCGAGCCGACCAAGCACACAGAGAGAGTCCTCTCTTTCTCTTCTTTCGTGCCCCTTTATGGCGTAACACACCGACGAACAGCATCGACTACAGGGATCTTGAAGAGACTTCTAGTTCGATGGATTTTCAAGGGGGTGGGGAATTCTCGGATAAATTAGTTTAACCCGAGGACGAGTAGTAGTCCCGGTTTCGATCGGGCAAACTTCTTCGAGGGATCCTCGAGACTGTGGACGCGGTAGCAACAGGATATTCTCGCTGACCGTCACGTTTGCGGTCGTTGCTGTCGGTTTTAACCCTGGCTCCTGCGTCTGCCTACGAACAGCGGAGACTGGTCCGAAGCGACGTAAAGTCGACGGGAGAATCGAGTTCTCGAAGCAAGTTCCATGTATACTCGACGTTGGACAGCCGTGCTGGACCGGTCCTCTTCCTAAGGTCTGTTGACACTCGCTGGCACGACCGAGTCCAAATATTGCTTCAGACCGGGCGGACTGCATTCGAGACGCTCGTCTGCAGCTCGGAAAGAGAAGCGTCCTTTCTAAAGATTGCTTTCGAACACGATGGATTC